GTGCATTCCTGGAAAGGTTTTTGAGTGTTTCATTTAGGAAGTCTAGGTTTACCTGTGGCTTGTTTCTAAGCAGTTGTTTGCCAGGCTGGAGCTTCAATAATAAAGCTATTTTGGAAATAAAGATCCTGTATATTTAGATCAACACATTTTGTTTTTTTTATCACTGCATTTTAAAATTATAATTGTTTTTGCAGGAGGGAAGGCATTTAAATGCATGAATTAGGCAGCTAGATTATTACTGTATAAAAACATGACAGATTACAAACTTAAGCAGGCACACACAGATGCTCTGTAAATGACATCTTCCTTTTTATGTGATTCAGGTGCATGTTTATTGCAGTGTTGCTCTTTATTTCCATTTAGTTTTATGTTTTTAATTCAGTTGTGCATCCTATTTAAGATTTAAATAACATTTGTTTTAAACAGGACCCAGCATGATCCCTTCTGGAAAATGTAAAAATTGAGAGTTTTGTTTGCTACACTGTACGAATGTGGGAATCTAGGGGAACTACAGTACACTGGGGCTTTAGACACTCGCTGCCATCTTCACAGTCACTCTGAGCTGACTGCCACACAGAGACTGCTGTATATCTGTGGTGGGGTGAACTGTAGCTGATTGTTCACAGATTTACTCAGGAGCCAGCCTACAAAATGAGTGTGTTTCATTGCCATATGAGAAACACACATTGTGGTTTCTCTATTTAAAAGCAGGTGTCCATTCACAGGAATTAAAGCCACCTGTTCATCTCTTGCTTGAGAGGTCAGTCAAGCCTAAACCACAAGAGACATTTAGTGTGCCTTGCAAATCTTTATTTAGACCCTAGCACAGATTTCACATTTTGTTGCTTTAAACTTTGCAGACATTCTACTGAATTAGCAATTAATAATTTATTACACAGCCTACTCCACACATTCAAGGCAAAAAACAAAAAGAAAAAAGTTTATATTAAAAATATGGATAAGTCATTATTTAATAAATATTCAAACTATTTGTTGCGGCAAAACCAAATTAATTTATGTGCAAAAATTTACCTTAACGAGTCGCTCAATTAATAGAGTAGCCTATATCGATGTATTGGTTCTCATTATTTTAGAATAAAAACCCCTGTCTCTGTGGGGTTCGGTGCTTAGGAAGTGAATCTCAAGCAAAGATTCAACCATGAAGACTAAAGAACTCTCAATACAAGTCAGGGATAAAGTCATCGAAAAGCACAGATCAGAAGAAGGGTACAGAATAATATTCATCAGAGCACAATTTATTCAATATCACTAAATGGAAGATGCATTTCACCTCATAGACACTAGATCAAGCCTTCAAAGTGAGCAGCCAGGCAAGAAGGACTCTGGTGAGGAATTCTATTATGATCCAACAACAACTTTGGAAGAGCTACAGAGTTCCATGACTGAAATCGAAGAAAATATGCAGGAATCAAAGCTGGCCTGTATAGCAGAGAGGTGGAAAGAAAGCAATTAGTGAAAAAAATCTCATATCCTGTAGGAAGTTTGCAACAAAGCATTTAAGAGTTACTGCAAATTTTGATTTATGGTCAGAAGACACAATCTGAACATTTTGATCTCAATACAAAATGTTACATCTAGTGCAGACAAGACATCACTGCAGTCACTCAGTCAACACTATCCCTACTTTTAAGCATAGTGGACACAGCATTATGTTATGAGGTTGCTCCTCATAAGCAGGAACAGAGATGTTTGCCAAGACGTAGGGAAAATTGATGGAGAAAAGTATAGGTACATCTTAGAAGAAAACCCACTGCTTTCTGATAAAGACTTAAAACTGGGACAAAAAATCGCTTTTCAGTATGAACAAGAACAAAGCTAAAGGTATACTGTGGCTAAAGAACAAGAAAGTAAATGTCCTTGAGTTGCTTGAAGTCCTGAATTGTATCCCATTGAGAATATGTGGAGATTCTTGAAAACTCTATCCAAAGGTGGAGCATATTCAGAGAAGTTAAGAAAATCGGCCGGGATAAATGGGCAAAAAGTCCATCAAGACTGTTTGCATATTTGTGAGATATTTACCCAAAAATGTTTGTGGCTATCATTGCTGCCTAAGTGCTTGCAACATATGCTGTATTTAGGTCACAGGTCTGAATACTTATACCATCAACATATCTTAGTTTTTTCTCTTTAGTTTTTGCTGACATTTCCATCCATCCATTTTGTAACCATTTTATCCAGTTCAGGGTCACAAGTGAGCAGGTGTCTATTCCAGCAAGTAATGGGGCAAGGCAGGGTACGCCCTGGATGGGATGCCAGTCCATTTCTGGGCACACAGAGACACAGACACATATTCTCACACAAGGGCCAATTTTCTTACCATAGTCAATTAACTTACCAGTATGTGTTTGGATAGTGGGAGGAAACGAAAGTCCTTGGAAGAAACCCAGGAAACATGGGGAGGACATACAAACTCCACACAGATAGCACCCCAAGTCTGGAATTGAGCCCAGGGCACTAACACTGCCCGGCAAAATTGTTAGTCTTCAGTTAGTGCATTCATGTTTTGAATACATTTTAATTTAATTTACAGGTTTAAAAAAAAATGTATGCATCATTTTGTAATTTCACAAGACAGGACTAAAAAGGAAAGCATTGTATATACATGAAGTATGTATAGTGTACATAAATAATCAGAAAGGTAGTGTGATTTGTTAATGATGAAAGCTAACCTTCAAGGGAAACAAAACTAAGGGAAGTTTTTTATACTTAGTTTAGCCAGATTAGTATGCTTTTCATTTACCTGTATTGATTTCTTATTGTAAAAAATCTGTCTAGTGAAAATAACAATTTTTCAATTATTCTATTTGAAAAATAATTAAAGTTATATGTAGTCAGCCAATCCAATTTAAAATTATATTCGATGCCAATGGCATTTGAATCCAAAAGCTTACCAATGTACTATTTATCATATTCTCTGTAATACACAGAAGCAAATGTAGTGTATCAATAAACTAGAAATAATTTATATTATATATAAAGAAAATCAATTTTGGTGAAACTAGGAAGATTTTACATTTTCTTAAATGAAAAAAATGATACAACAAAACTATCCTGTTAATTGCCAGTCTGTAAGATTTTATAAGTAAAGAAAAAATAAGAAGAGACATCTTGAAAACAAGTGTAATTGTATTTTATTAAAGCAGGAATCTGTAATATACAGTTCACATGAGGAGAGACAGAATGTGTCTACATCAGTGTTATTTTTGTTTTACAAATAGTTTTAGGGGACACACATATTGCCATTTCAAGAGAGGTATTGAGCATTGAGGCCTGTGATTCACTGATAAAATTACCCATTACTTCACCTCACACTTTTGAACAGTCTTAGTATAATTTGTGCTGGAATAGTTCCAATGAAAGATGACAATCAAAGCAGCAATATTGATTCACTACAATCAAGAATCATACAGAACAACACAATTGGAAACCATGTCTGAAAAAAAGAGAAAACAACTTATGGGAACAGTGTCTTTGAAGGAGCAAAATTAAATGAAATTCAAGATATGTGTACTATGCTTTAAACCGGTTTCTATTTTTTTAAAGAGTTTCAACCAGTAAAAAAAATGCAGTTCAGTCAGCAGCCTTGACTGATCATACTGAACCAAGTGTGAAAAGGTGTCAGAGAATACCAGGCAGCTTCTTCAGCTAATACAGTACATTTACTCACAGTAATGGTCTCATGTGAAGTGCGTATTGCTTTAGTTTTATCTACCACAAGGTCATAATGTTAGTATTTGCATGTCCTGAATCATAAATCATCTGTCTGCTACCACTTTTCCCTGTGAGGAGAAGACTCCCAAGTATAAAGACTACCACATCTAATAGACACAACTAAGGAACTTTGTACAAAAGTGATCCTATTTTGTTCTTAGTCCTTCTTTAGTTCTTAGTGCTCCTTTAGATTTGCTATGGAAGGCAGGGACTCTATGGTTGTCTTCAATTACACGATCCATGTGGCAGTATAATAAGTTTTGATTTATAATAATTAATATTTTATTTAAATTATCATAGCAATTAAGCATTTGTTGATGGTGGGGGGTGGGGTGGGATATTAACAGATTTCAGATGCTCAACACAGTTTACGAAATGAAAAGGGCAGAGGATTTGAATGTTAAGTGGGCTAAACTCAACAGAAATCTAAAATCTATTTGAAAAATTGGCCACACTTGATTTATTCAGCTTATGACACTTCACTTGCAGAAGTGTACACATTAGTAGGTTGCCTGGGCAATAAGTGTCCCTTTCCTCTGTGTTGTCTGGGGAGTGTGGTGTGATATGCTGGCAGATTGGACAGTGATGTAACTTATACTGTGTAGTACAAGAAAATTCAGTTAATGCCACAAACGTAAGAGACATGAATCACTTTACCGGGGTGACACCACGTCTTGGTCCTGTAACTGATTTGATAGAGTTTGATTGATTTGATTCCATCTGACTGCCCCTGTTGTGTATTCTCCCAACTCTAGGATGTACACTCTTAAAGTAATAATTTGTTGCATTTATATGCCATTTTTATTCCCAAAGAATGCTATAGTACTTTACATACAGAAAGGTATCCACATCTCTCTCCACTGAAGTGCAGCAGCTCCATTGCATATCATAGTAGGTACAGTCCAGTGTGCAGTTTAGAATAGAGTTGAGAAATGAACAGTTAAATAGAGGGGAATGTGTTGGGTATAACTAAGACTTAAAAGCTTTGTTTCTTAGAAGAAATTAATTAAGAAACTGATCTTAAACAATTCTCACAGTTATTTCAATTTTTAATGAATCAGTTGATACAGATTTTACACATCATAAATGTAACGTATTGTTGCTATTTGACAAAGTGCACTTAATCAGCTGAGATAGTTGTTGGGCAGTCATTTGTGGGTGATGTGCATTTTTGTACCTTCATTCACCACAAGTTCACCTTTTTGTTGTTCCTTCATTCTTTCACACTCAGCCTCATTCCCTGTCCTGTTGTTTTCATCCTTGTTTAGTAAATTCTGGAGATGGGATTGACTACAGCCAACAGAAGAGAGAAAACATCGGGGATCTGATCCAGGAGACGCTGGAGGTGTTTGAGCGCTATGGGGGCGAAGACGCCTTCATCAATATCAAATACATGGTCCCCACATACGAGTCCTGCATGCTGAACTGAGAGGAGGTCAGCACACACTCCCAGACCTCAGCCTCAGACCCTCACACAGCACCACATGCTTTCATTAGACTGAAACTTCCCTTTGTAAATGATTAAATTCCTAACAGCATTCTTTATTTCTGTTGTTTGAAATACCTGTTCGTATTTCCCCATCCTGTTAAACACCTTTGGAAAGCACATTTTTTTTCTTTTGAAAAAAATATTAATTATCCTTCATTAAAGCAACATTTTTTTCAATCATTTTCCTATAATTTTTTCAGATTTTTTTCTCCTCATAGGTGGAGTGCTGGGTTATTGGAGAAAAACTAGTATTTCTCATGTTGTAAGCCACTTCAGGGATAGCATTAGGATACAACTAACTAGGTTTCATTCCGGTGTAAAGATGAAAATATTTTTTAACAGATGTTAAAATGAAGAAAGGGGTTGTGTGTTTTAATTATGAAACATTTTACTTAAAGGAGAGCTTTAAATCTGAATTTCATAAGTATGTCTTTTTAGGCAGTATACAGTAAATAATTTTAGTGCACTAAATGTTTGCAAGTTTCTTTATTTGAAAAAATGTCCTTTATATAATTAAGGACTTATAAAAACATTAAGCTGTTGTCCTTAGAAAACAGTGTTGTTGTGATATACTTAGTTCTGCACAGTCCCTTTTTCCCTTTAAGCGGTTGTGATTTTATCCACCTACAGTATGTAGGGGCATGCCAGACTGGAATGCACCATGCCAACCAAATTTTCTGAATTTTTAACAACAATAAAATAATTATTAAATCTTTTAATTTCTCTACCAGCTCTGCAATGCCCAATCAAAAGATAGGGCTGAAGAACATTGTTATGTACAATAGCTGCTCGTATCACTGCTTTACATGTTTCTAAAGTTTTGAGTGATGAAATTACATTTCTTTCAATTTTCATTCAGTTTGTGTAGAACACTCTGCCCAGCCTTTGCATTGTATTAATTTATTAATCTGACAATTCCAATACGGGAACTTCCTCCGAGGGATATTGCATTTCAGCTCATGACACATGGAGTAAGCCAAGTAGGCCTGCTGTCTATCAGCTGTGTAAAAGAGTCTACAGTGTGATGAATTCATATAGAAGAGGGGGCTTAGCAAAACCAAGTACAGGGGATCTTCCCAAGGAATGACACCTGTGTACTGCAGATGTGGCTGAGAGTTGCCGCTATGCTGTCCCTCTGAAGTTTAAGATTCTCCGGCCTGGGTGGGTGAGGTATCAACAACTCAGCCTCCATATATGAGTGAAGTCTTTGACTGATCCCCCTCACCCCTACCACCAGCACCTACAGCACCAAGAGAGAATTTAATTTACCTTTTATTTTGCAACATGAAAAGCTGCTACCTTGCAATTTCTACACAATACCTTTGACTCCTCTTATGTACCAGGAGATGTTTAAAATTAAAATTGAAATTTACAAGAAGATTATTATTGTAGAGGGAAAGCAGAGCAAACAAGCTTGAGTGCCCCATATGTCTTTAAGAAAATTGTAGCTCCCTTAAGTATTGTTTGCTGTATCATGTCTGTGCATGCTCAGAAATGCCCATCGGAATGATGAAAAGCTGCATTCCTGTGTGGTTTAATTTGCTGCTGCAGATATCAGTAACCCACTCTGTTGGATCCTAATCATATTAACCTGGGGAAAAAAAATGGATATTACTGAATTTGGCTGAGATGTGAGGAACTGTAGGCCTAACATTGGCAAGGGTTAGTTTAGCCACAGATTTCTTCACATAGGGGAGCAAAGAGATTAAAACTAAAGTCTGTTTTAGTCTAGACAGGTCTTTTATTCTGTGAAGACAATAATTAAATGAGCTGTAACCCTGCTTGTTCAGAAGGATGAATAATCCTGGTTCTCCTCAAGGTAATGAAACATTATGAAAAAATGTATAGTAGCTCAGTAATAGGTGCGTTTTATTAAATTGAGGGAGAGCGGCATTTTTTTTGTAACTACATTTTTATCATAAATACTTCAGCATTTGCAGGTATTTCTGCATAGCTTTGGTTGCTGATGTTACTCCTTTACACACACATTTTTTTACATTTCCCCAGTTTTTGATTTTTATTCTAATCAAGGTCAACCCAAACCCAAGTTAGACATCTTCAAAATGCCACCTTAGCCTCCTCTTTATAAACTGCAGCACCTCGGTCTGTTTCTTAATAAGTGAATAATTGAATAATAAGGGATAAGTGAACATCGCCCCATTACGAAACCTTTCAGCAAACCAGCTCTTCCTGTCCTTCTCTTGTCCTGAAGCATGTTGAAAATCCACTTTGCTTGTGGGCATATGGTGCTAGACCTCCACGTGCTGAGTGTGTGAATCATCAGAAGGCAGAAGGTTGGAGAAACGTTGGAAGAAACAAAACAACGGAATTTGCAGGATTAAAAAAAAAAACAGAACAAAAATATAAACAAAGAAACATCTCTCCACTCACACAAAGGTACTTTAGTATACTTACTCCTGCTTTTAAACACTAAAAGTGCAATGTAGCTTTCCCTTTTCCTGATGGTTTAAGCCAGATAATTTAATCCCAAAATTAATTAATATTTGTACAACAAGACAAAAAGAGGAAGAAAATCTTGGCAACAGATAATTTAGTGGGTAGTTCCAAGAAAAGCCCTGGGACCTATTGGAGACCCTCTGAAGCAGGCCAAATTAAAGAGATGGTGGATCAGAATTTCTTAGAAAGAAAAATAAGTAGAACATCTGTGCTGGATACTAGGTCTTCCCTTAGGAATTTCAGGTTTGAGAATATGCCTTCGATTTGCATGGACGAATCACTGCATAATTAGGATTTCTTCGACAAAACAAAACATGTAAAAAGCCGTAGTCTGGTTCTCTCAAGAATGATCAATGCTTATAAACACCTTACATTCAATCTCTTCTTTCATGTTAAGGTTGAAATATATCTTCTGATGTGCTCAGTTAGGTTATATCATTGAAGTTAATCAGCATAAAATGCGATTTATGCTTTTACTTTCAGGATTTGATAAATGCAAATGCACATGGCAAAAGTTACCAAGCTATGAACAAAAGGTCCCCTGAGGCCTGAGATTACCAGCTTGTTTTTGAGCCGCTCGGTTAGAACAATTTAAGAAACAAAAAAGGCAGAACATTTGCATTGCTAATGAGCAAGTTAAGCCCAACAAAAATTTTAAACAAAAATATGTACATTTTATGGAGAATTGTATGAATCTTCATTTTAAACAATATTGACCATATTTGATTTATTCTTCTCTGAAGTAATGCTTCTTGAGATTTAATTTCTCCAGATTCTAAATGGCAATGCTTGGAAATCTCCTTAAATAACAGATGAATAAGTAAATTAGTGATTTACTTATTACTTAGAAGTAAATTAGCACAGAAGAACAAAATTTGCCTTCTTTAGCTGTGAGATCTGTGAAATGCTTCCTTTCTCTGTTGAAACCCCTGAAGTTAAAAAAGTTTATCACTGTTAGGAAAACAAAAGGGCTGTTATGGCGATCTCTTGTGCCAGCGTGATTTTTAGGTGGTGTGTTGATAGAGCAGTGATTGCTCTTCAATATGATTTCTGAGTTGTGCTCTAGTGGAACAAGCTCTTTGACTTACAGGTTGGCACTGATTCAGAGGAAGTGATTTCCATATTGTCCTGTTGTGTAAGATTAAGGGATTTCATTAGCTAATCATATACTTGAAACCACAAATCTAAGATATATTGTACTGATTAACAATCAAGATTCAGTCTCTTATGGTTCTGCATCCTCTGATCGGACTGAATTTGCAGTTGGTCCTGGAGGTGGGTTTCCAAATAAATCCAATAATATTTTTTTTTTATTCACAATACAGACAAACTCTAAAAGAGATAGGTAGTCTTTATCTGATTTAGACACTTATTCAAGGTCAGCTAGCACATTTTCACAGTAAGCACTAACTTACTGAAAATAATTTCTTTATGAGAAGGAAAATGCTTGAAAAGGAATTTACCATTTTGATGGATTTGATTCGATTTTGCATTTAGAAAGACAATAAGTTATGGTTCACTCTTCATTGTAATTACCTTTATTTGATATAGTTGACAAACAGATTCTATGTAAATTATGCAACATTATATCATCATCTGTATCTGTTCATATTTTTTCCCATCTGATGCAGAATATCTAATCCACACTATCGCTATTTTATTTAGGCTTGCAGTGTTTGTTGTTGTGTCCCTGATATATTTCTTAACAAGTTATGACATGTTAAGGTCGCAAATCTTAATTAAAATGTATATACAGTATATGAGCTTATTTCACTTCCTTCCTTGCGCTATTCCCTGTGGATTTTGGAATACAATTTGAAATACTGCTGCTCACCATTATGGGATTTAACAGTTTGGCTCCTGACTATGTCAGTGAAATGATAACTCCCTATACACCTACATGTCATTTGTGTTATCTGGACTCTGGCTTTCTTTGAGTTTCCAAAATGAGGCACTGAGATCCCATATTAGATCTTGAAAGTCAGTCAGAACTTTCAAATCTTGTCTCATTTTATACTCTTTTAATTATACAATACTGATCAGTATTAATTTGTGTATTCCTGACAATAGTTTTATTGGAACTTGCCTTGAGATGATGTATCATGAAAGTTGCTATATAAAAACAATAATAATTATTGAATAATACAAGTAAAAAATATTAAGTACTAGTTTTAATTCATTTACAAAAATGCATTACAAATTAATTTCTGGAGCTTCATACCCGGATGCACATACTGATTTGGCTCCTGCGTTGCGGTGGCTCTGTGGCTTAGGATCTGCGTCTGTGGCTGGAAGGTTGCCGGTTTATATCCCGCACCCGGCAGAGGAATCCTACTCCGTTGGGCCTCTGAGCAAGGCCCTTAACCCCAAGTGCTCCAGGAGTGCCGTATAAATGGCTGACCCTGAGCTCTGACCCCAAGCTTCTCTCCCTGTCTTTGTGTCTGTGCATCTCATAGAGAGCACGTTGGGGTATGCAAAAAGTCAAATTCCTATACAAGAAATTATATGGCCAATAAAGTGATCTCTCTCTGATTTAATCAGAATTATAGGGCTCAATTCATCACACTAAATATAGACCCATGTCTAAAATAGCTTTGAATTATATATGAATGAATAGAGGTGGAAGCTTTTGCATATTTACTTTATAAAAATATTTGAGTATCTTGTTTAGGTTAATCATTTGAAAAAAAAATGCTTAAGTATTACATAGTAAAACTGTTTTT